TTTCTTTGACTTTGAAGACCAGCACTACTGATAGAGATCACTGGTCGGGTAAGAGGGAAGCAGCGTCATGGGAGGCATCTAACAAACACTGAGGTACAGACCCTCAAATTGTACTTTGTAGGTGGTACTTACTCAATGTACTCCTAGGGCAATTTTCCCTTCTTATAAAATTGGAGAAATGTAATGGTTACACATGTAGTTGAACTTAAAAAATCTCAGCTGTCCAGTTTACCCTACAATATTTATAATTAGTAAAAAATTGGCCCTAACTGGTTTGACTCAGTGGATAGAGCGTCGGCCTATGGAGCAAAGGGTCCCAGGTTCGATTCCAGTCAAGGGCATGTACCTTGGTTGCAGGCACATCCCCAGTAGGAGGTGTGCAGAAGGCAGCTCATCGATGTTTCTAACTCACTATCCCTCTCCCTTCCTCTCTGTAAAAAATCAATAAAATATATTTTTTAAAAAATTGACTGGGGTGATGTTTCCTTCCTACAGACATAGAAATTGGATTGCCAGGTTCCATGCTGCTCCTACTACCATTAAGCATGCCAATTCATGCCTTTTTTTAATTCACTAATTCACCACATCTATTAGATATCTGCTGTGTTTCCAGCCCTGTGTTAGGAGCTGGGTGTTCAAAAAACAAATTTAACTCAAAGGAACTTACTAGCACACTGTAGGCAGATGGTTAGGTACTTTCCCTTGTGTTTCCCAGCCTCTGTCTTAAGAAATCAGTAAAAGTTCATAAAGAAGAGAGGTACTCATTTGTTTCTCACTTTCCAAAGCCACAGAGAGCACAGTAAATAGAGGCAGTGCCTAAGATATACTGTAAGTCTTCACTTGTGAAGTCTTTGGATGGCTTTTAAATATTTAGGGTAATTAATGACCAATACAACACACTTTGGTCAATCAATAGAAATGAAAAATCACAAAAACAGAACTCCCCTTCCCTCCATTCTTCTCACTGGAAGGGGCCCGCTCAGCAGCATAACTTCTAAACAGTCATTAGGCCTAAAGAGCAGGTACTTGGAACCCATTAAGACAGAGAAAGCAGTGATGCTAATCCACCACCTGAAGTCATATGACTCATCTGAAGCAGAAGTGGTAAGAAACATTTAGGCCAGGAATCTGAAATTATGAGCAGCAAAGAAAGTCATAATGATTGTACTGATGAGTCATCTGCCATCTGGTTCTCATTAAGAAATGATAAGTCAAGGTACAGATAACAAAGAGTAGAGCAATACCAAAAATGTGAAGCGGACTGTTTTTCTAAAATAACAGAAGGAAAGGTGACGTATATGAGAAGCTATCACAAGGAGACAAATATATTTAGAACCTCACTGAGCAGGCTGTGAAACCTAAAACTGCAGAAACCAACGTGAAAAGGGAAGGAGACCTATACTTTAGTCATCCAGCAAACTGGAAAACAAGAGCCTCAATAGGCAAGTTCCAGCTTACCAATTTATCCTTCCTACCTCACTTGCTGGCTGGATTTGCCATACCCAAGGCGGAAAAATATGTCATTCCAATGAGGAAAGAGAATACTGGGTCTCTTCTTGAGGCCTCCTTACCCATCAGCCCTCTCCTATGATCTCCTTTGGCTACCTTACTAGGACAGAGAATTATTCAATGGGATTGTTCTTTGTTCAGTGGAATTTCTCATTCTATTGTTCCTAGTTACATTGCAATTTTAGCACTAAATAACTGTTTTATGAGGTATTGCTTGTACATCTATTTTTCTAACAGATGGTAAACTCTTTGAGAGCAGAAGCGATAGTTTATTCATCTATGTCTCGCCAGCACCCAGCAAAGTTCCTGGACCAGAACAGGAGTTTAAAAATTCTTAATAAATTGAATTTAATTGAACTTCCCCTTGATATTTCATTTGTGACCCATTGTCCTGTGGTTTCTTCTACAAAAACTCTATGAAATCTCATTGAAATTCTAGCTGTACCACTCAAAAATTTAACTAAAAGAGGGGCAGTGGATTGATAGTCAGTCATTCTATAAATATTTATTGAGCATTTGCTACATGTTACACAGAGTTCTTGATGCTTGGGATATGTTAATAAGCTAAGATTCCTGCCACTGCAGAGGTTACATTTAAGTAGGGGGCAGAAACAGAAATTAAGTATGATAAGTAGATATGCTAGTAGTTAAAAAATGGTAAATATGATAAGCAGATACTAGTATGTTAGAAGATGGTCAATAAGGTAAGTAGACATGCTAGTAAGTTAGAAGATGGTAACTGCCATGGAACAAGCAAACAGAGTAAGGAAGATG